TCCTCATGTTTCTTTTAAAGATGTCAGATGTCTACCTTAATTGCACGGATACAAAGGTAAACTCCATTGACGTCAGTGCAGTTATCTGGGTTTTATTAATATCGGATAAATATAAAAAACAGTATCAAGCAAAAATTCACAGAGAATAATAAAACACCCACACAAACCTCCTGCTGAGTTGTTCCTGGTGGTGGTACTTCACTTACTTGCAATGTATGGCTGAAGTGGCTATGGTTCTTGGACCAAAGCTCTCCTTTGCATCACCTCTTTCCCCCTTGAGAAAGAAAACACTGTGCAGAAAACAGCTCTACCACCACGGTAATGGGGTGAGATTACCACTAGAAAAAACAGCACTCTCCAGCTCCAGCCTCAGAAAATGTCAGCGTCCTGGGGAGCAGGAATAGGCTCTGCAACCTCTTTCCCCTCCTCGCAGGTGTGGGGCTGCCTGTGTTCAAGGTCAGCTCCGACATGGTTGCAGCCAAGTGACCTTGGAGCTGAGCAGTGTGAGAAAGCCCTGAGAGAAGCTGTGTGGGGCCTCCCCACCTCAGCACTTTCGTGGGGGCCCTCATAAAGCTTGTGCACCCCCGCCCAGCCATGGGCCTTGCTGATCCCAGCCTTGCCTTACTGACCTGACTTCCTGGCTTCACCCTAGACCTGTCCCTTCACAAGTGAGCTGCATGGCCAGCACTGGAAGCTAATGGCATCCCACTCACAGAAATACAGGACTCTGTTTTTTGCTGTGGCTAAAATACTGAAGAGCCTCAGCCACTGAGCAAGCAACGACTTTGAGGCATGTGGAAGTAGAAAAACTGACCTTAAGAAAAGATGGTTTAGCATTTACTGGATTTGCCAGACACTAATTACAATAGGAAGAACAATTCCCTTTGTTACACTTACAATGATGAGGTGAACCTGTTTCTTGCGTTCCTAACCCAAAACACTGAACACGTTTTTTTCTTTTGCTCTGAAAAAAATTGAGGAGTTTTAGAATTTTACTGATTTAAAAGCAGCATCACCTGAGTGCTGGAGCCATGTCCTTGATGGATGTCAGCTGCAACAGCTCTAAGGAAGCTGTGGAGATACCCTGGTGCTGGTCTGCACTAGGTAAGGAAGTGACATCCTGGGAAAGCTGCTCGGTGGCCCCAGAACAGCTCCTCTCCAATTCCAGGTCCGAAGACGAACTCCGACACCTCCGTGGCAGCAAGATGATCGTCTTTGAAGTGAAAAACACAGACAATGTCAGCAGCCTGTCGAGCACGTAAGCAATCTCAGTGGCTTCAACAGCTTCATAAACCTTAAGCTGAAATTTAAGCATGGAAACAGTATTTCACATACAAGGCTTAAAAGAGCATTGTTTTCAAGCTGCTTTTTGTTGTCTTCACTTCTGGGTTTTCTGATCCACATCTTCACAGTTCAGTGGTGTGACCGAATGCCAAGGAGCCAGTCCTCAGCAACAGCCCTCTGAGGTTTTTGGAGTTATTAGTTTGAGAAGAAAACAGCTGGAAGACTAATTGGTGGGTCAGCTACTTTTGTTCCATCTCTCCTTGCCATTTCCCTTCACTGCTTTCACTGGGAGCCCAGAGTTCCTGTGACCTTCATTACTACCCTGCAGCAGCCCACAAATGAAAGCATAGCTTCGTTACAGATTGCTACCTTAAGTACTTTTCAGCGGCACCTCTTCTTTTCAGACACTAAGGTTCAGAACTTGCACAACTGAATACACCCACATGCTAAGCATTATTTATTAGAGTTATAAATCAATTCTTTTAACTCTGTGGTACATCTGGACAGCAACAAATCAACCGAGCTGTTTGATTTGGGTGGAGATTTGGATCTTCTGGCAACCCTCTTAACCCAAGGAATGGGAAGATCTTAGCAGAGAGGAATGACAGACTCATGGTAATGCCTCACACAAGCGATCCTGCAGTCGATCTCTGGGAGCATCACATTGTGCTTATGCTGGTGGGGAAAGCTGCTACCACAGTGAGGGAAACAAAAAGCATTCAGCACATTTGTTCTTCCTGTTGCAATGCCTTCAAATCTCTTTTCCTTATCTTTACTCAGTGCCTCACTCCAAGCTTGAGCTGTGCACTCTCAGGAGCAAAGAGCATACTTTTATATAATACGTGTCCTACCACATCCAGCTGGGGAAGAACTGGCCTAATGACAACTTTTAGGCTTTCATTGATAAAAGTAAAACCAGCCAACTTTACTTCTTATGTGCACAACAGTCAGGATTTCAAACTCCATTTGAAGCCTCTGAGCCCCTTTCATCCAGTCATGGTGCTGTCCCGAGCAAAGCTGTCAGCTGAGCAGCTCCTGTCACACTGGATGACGAGGAGCCGCTGCTGAACTGCAGAGTCCTGCAGGGAGATGAGGGTTTGTAAAGCCAAGGATAATGGACCTGCCACTAGACTCTCCACCTGCCAAATGGCAGCACTCACACTGAGCTTCTCAAACAGACTGTACAACACGAAGTGAGGGAAATCACCCGATGCTGTTTCCTTTCTGGGTGCCAGGAGCAGAGTGCATCTTGGAAGCCTGGAGCAGAGTGCATCTAAAATCCAAGCTGCCTTTTGAAGATGTACTTGTTACTTTTAATCAGATAGCAGTGGCAAGACATTTAAAAGATTATGAAACTTCTAAGTCAGGCTTCTTCCTTCTCTAAAGAAATACAAGACAAATACTCAATTTTTATTTGCTGGTGGAATCATCAGTTAATGATCTGAGACAGAAACAGCAACGTGCATGTGAAAATAGGGTGAGAAGTGTAACTCAGCACTAGGAATTTCATAGTGGTGGCCTTGGTGCTCTTAGAAGCCTCCACTGTGTCTGAAATTAGGGCACCACTTTGTAATGCACTTAATCTGATCCACCTGTGGCCTACTACACACAAGAATGCTTTCAGTCCCTGCACGCTCCCACCATGTTTACTCCAAATCTATCATCATATAGCTTTGCTATGGCATCACCAGTTCACTGATCCTATGAAAAACATTTTTGGGTGGATTTATTTCCTAGTTTCCCTACTGGAAGGAACAGGTCTGTCTTGCTAGTCTCTACATCTTGGGGAAAAAAAAAAACAACCCGGAGATTATCCCCACTGGTGGCAGCCCACAATTCTGACCAAGTCTGCTCTAAAATGGGACTGACCGTCCCCGAAATGGTACCTCACTGTGTCACAGCTGGGAGCAGCCACCACACAACAGGTACCTCAGACAGACAGAAACCTTCCAGTCATATCCTAGAGACAGCACCAACCTGGATCCACAAAGCCACACCTGCAGACCATCGGCACAGAGCAACTGATGCTGTCAGTGAGCTGAGCTGACCTAGACTAGCTCAGAGCCAGGCTCAGAGAGCCGGGAGAGGTTCTGCCCACACTGCAGAGCTCCCTGGGGCAGTCAGGTAACAGCCTCAGCCTTTCTCAGCATGGTGGCTGTGACATACTCCCAGGAAAGAGCAAGGCTTCCCATTATTCCCTCAAAAGGAAGAACTCTGCTCAGAAAGGCAAAGATAACTCAAAACCCCTACCTATAAAACAAGCCTAATATACAAGCACCCACCTCCCACTGCAGCAGGTATGAGGGAGCCACATCACCAACCCACCCTGCTACCATGTGACTAAAACCCAGCCCACAGACTTTTCTATAGCAGTACCAGGCAAAATCATCAGCTTTCTAACAGACATGCTGTGTTCAGCTGGGATTTTTTTCAGATCTCAACCTTCCAGCCTGGCAGGCAAACACTTGCCGTGATGTGGCTTGCAACAGTTACATGGAGGAGGTGTGTGCCTGCACGAGGAGGAAGTGGTGTATTCCTCAGAGGGCAGACAGGGATTAGTAATATGCCTTCCATGTTTCCAACATGCATGAGAATTGACACCTTGGAAATGCAAACCCAGTTTAAACATAGTGGTGAACAGATTTTCTTTTAGACAGAAGAAGCCAAGAATAAAACCTGTAATTGTGGTTTTGTACTATTGCAATAAACCTCCACCTTAAATGAAAGGGCACTTTGAAATGGTTTCACCCTATCTTTCTAGTACTGCTTGCCACATGTGCTAGTGCCAAGTGACAGCTCACTGCCAGGGCCACGTACAAGTTCCTAGACTCACACCCCCCATCACAGAACAGAACCTGCAGCTCAAGCCACCCCTGATGTAACCATCCAAACACAATCTTCACCTTTGTCCGACTGAAGTTCAGCTAAAATGATTTGACTAGAAAAAGCAGCTCTGTGCACTGGAGCCTTGACCTCTCAAAACTGCTCAGTGAATCTAATGAAAGAGACCACAAAAAGCAAACCCAGTCACTCTCTTGCCACTCCTGATTTTCCAGAGCAGACAGCTGTGAATGGCAACACAAACCTTGCCCTGATCTACTCTTAGGCCCAAACCTGTCACAAACCATGTCACACTTGTTTTCTGATTTCAGTGGACCAGGTTTCTCTCTGTCCTGTTTCTCGAAGAATCTGATTCCTCAACATTGGCCTTCAGGACACTCACTTCCAGAGATAAGCAGGTCAGCTTTGGGGACTCCTGCACTCAAGGCACCAGATCTCACCCCCTCCCCAAATCACACTAGAGCAGGACATGCTGTGCCACAGTGACCCTGACACCAACTTCAGCAGTACCAGCTCCACAGCTCTAGTCCTGTAGCCGGAGCTGTTGAAAACTCCAGGGAAGGAAAAAACCCTACCAAACCAAAACCCAACTTCTGCAGTGAACACCAGTGGAAATATTTTTTAAGGAAAAAGCAGGCAAGGATCAGAATGCAGACAGCTGAGTTCTGTTTTAAGAAGCTGGCAGCCACACACTGTAGATTACTCAACACCTGCTTCTTGCCTAGGTTTCAAATCTCCAGTGCTGGAACAGCCTCCAGGCTAAGGCTTTTTTTTCCTGTCTCATTCAAGAGTGTCGCTGCATCTTCAACTTCGCAGATTTCAATGAGCTGTGTAAATACTTACTTGGAAAAGCAATAAGGGGGTTGAGTCACAAATGAAGATTGACCAAAACCAAATCCTTTATTTCCACAACTGTATAAATGTGCTCCAAGTATGTGTCCAACACAAGTTAGAAAAACAAAATAGAACATGCCAGTTGCAAACTAGATCAGTTCACTGACGTGCTGACTCCTTGGTATTAGGCTTAGTTACACAAGACCAGTCACAGTAAAAAGATACATTTTAGAGTACAAAGAGTAGCAGGATGTTAAGCCATTTCAGTTTGTGCACATACAAATCACACTTCTGGCAGAAAACGCAGAGAAGTTTGCATTACTATGCTGGAAGCTATGTTGCATCACTTTAAATGGCATCAATATCAATATCGTCATCTTTATTGTTTGCAGGCTTCACAGTTTCAACTTTAGGTACACTGGCAGTTGAAGAGTACACCACCTGTGGAGACAAGACACTTGCTTTTACTACAGCACCGACTGACACTAAGCACTGGACTAACTGTAACACCTACCCACCAACCACCCTCCTGTCCACAGCCATGACCCACTTAATAAGCTGCTCTGTAAGGCAGAGCTGTGCATGTGCATCTGCAGGAAGCAGGATCTCATCCCCAAGAAGAGAAGTGTACAGTACTGGCAGGAGAATAACCAAATCACCCACATGCAAAACTTGTTCCAGCCACAGCCACCTGGAGTGTAACTAACAGACTTTATCTAGGCCTAAACTGTGAGGAAAGTGGTCAGTTATTCTTTCATCAGCTGCTTTAACAAACATCCCCCCACTAACTCATTTAGAACATGCAGTTTTTTGCATGATACCTCCCATCAACCTTCTACTACTACATGAGCTGCTACTGTGCAAGAGAGTGTACCATTCCAGAGTGACAGTCTTGGGCTATCCAAATGCTCTTACACTTAGTGTAGTGTAGCAAGAACGCTCTGACCAAGCCCTAGGAATGGAGTGTTCCTCCAGTTCCCAACGGGCACAGTAATACACCAAGGAAGCTATTTCAAATTGCACCAGGAAAAGGTTACAAGACTTAAACAAGCAGGAACAGTGCAGCCTTGGAGCTGACAATGAACTAGCCTTTCCTACCTCTATATTTTCATCTTCGTCCTCTTCTTCATTACCGGAAGATTCTTCTTCAGCTTCCTTTAGCCATTTAATAAATGGTTCTGCTTTGACACGGATTTCTTTGGCAAGCTCCTTTGAAACATATTTCTTTGAGGCCTGAAAGACACAGACTTTGGTTGAACGCTGAAGAGTTTACACCAGATCATACCCAAACACAGCAAGAACCCAACTTGGACCTCCAAACTCACCCACTGCCTTGAACAGCTCGTTTTTGGAAAGGTTTCTCTCAGCACAAGCTATCACACCAGAACACAGAAGCCAGATGCAATAGACTCCATTCAGGTACATAACACACTACCCTTTACCTTTTCTGCCCAGCTAAGGATGACTTCTTCTTCCAGAAGATCTGCATCATACATTTCCTTCAAAATATGTGGTATTTTTGAAATAAGCTGAGACTGATGCATGGCTACCACACACTCAAAGCCATGGAGAAGGTACCTCTGGGCTTTCTTGTTGTTGTGGCAGAACTAGAGTTGCGATAAATGCAAAAGGGATTCAATTAGCTTTTTGAATTCTTTGAACCTTGAATTACAAGGTTTACAGCAGTTCATACTATCCCTCCCAGCAGTTCTCCCTAGGTAAGGAGCAGTTTAAAAGCAAAACACTACAGTAAGTCTTCTTCCCCACAGTACCAAGCCATTGCTATAAAACACTCAGAACAGTGAGTGCAGAAGAAGGAATTGCTTACACGAAGGAAGTGACGTCTGTATTTTCTTATTTGTTCACGAATCTTTTCGTCAAAAAGGACTTCAGTGAGAACTAGCGGGCCCATGGCCTTTACATCCAGTCTCTCTGCTTCTGCTACAATGTCTTTGTCTGAAGTATCAATGACACCTTCTTCCTTCTTTTTCTACAGGGAAACGGGTACAGAGAGAAACATTTTAATGCCACTTGAGGTCTGCGCCAACACTCTTTGCACCCTTCCCCTCCCACTGCTGGCAGAAACAGTGTTTTGATAGAAGCTTAGAGACGTTGCTTTTAGTTTCCTTACAAACACTTTATACCACTAAAGCAAACAACCAGAGAATAGTTACCTTCACAAAATCAAACAGTATGTTGACTCTCTCCTCCACGGTTCTTTCCAAGTCTTCACTAAGCGTGAGGTTCTTTGCATGGTCACTGATTTCATCCATTCTACGCCTCTGGGCTTCTTCTGTTGTGTCCTCACCCCAGTCATCATCATCCTCCTCCTCCTAAAACACAAAAGCAAACCAAGAGATTCAGTGTTACTGCGGGTTTAGTAATAGGCAAGGGTAGAAATGATACCAACTTGAGAGCATTTTTACAAACCTAAAGAAAGGTTTACAGTACAATTTGCAAGTCAAAGACCACAGAAAAAGGGAAAGAAGTAATGGAAACTAGAAGCTAGACATTAGTTTATAACCCTCTGTAAGGTTACTTCAAGTGCACTTTTACCTCTCTATATATATTCCAGCATTCAAGTTTTGGAGACAGTGAGAGCTTTTGGTGCAATGTTGACCAGCAGGGAATGCCAGTGATTTTTAAGTTTTAAATCAGAACAAGACACCACACCCTTATCTCCCCACTTTCCCTTCTACTTACCACAACCTGTGGAGGAGTAATCTCCTCTGGTGGTGGGGGTGGAAGTGTCTCATTGCTGGACACAGAACCATTCTCTTTGTCCTTGCCTTTTCTGTTCTTCTTCTCCTTTTCTTTCTTTCCTGTACCAGTGTCACCACTTTCTGCAAGTGAATTTTAATGTTTGTTCTATGAACTAGAGCAGGCTACAAAATCCCTGCACCTCTGCCAAATCCCTATGTGGGTCTGGAGGCTTTCATTAGCAGCAAGTTATGTGTAGTACCAATCCCCAAATACACTCAGGGCAGATGTACATCTGGCAGGGAAAAACCTGGTTCCAGTCACGGTCTTATTTCTCACCAACATTGTCCAAGTCTATATAACAGGTGACCTCACAAAGCAGAGACCCCTGGAATAGGTTAGACTTTTCTATTCTTGCAAGCTTAAATTGTAGCAGGCAACTAGATGCTTACTACAGAGTGTTGCTTGCACAGAACATTACCGTTTTTACTTCCTACTCTTACTTCACACTGACTTTAAGGAACTGCCAGGAGCTACTGCTAACTACCTTTCCTCCTCCTCCTAAGTTGTCCTGCACAGGTAAATCCAGCTCTTCACAAATAGTTCTACCTGGGAGGACACAGCATGACGAGGAAAAAGACTGAGCACTGCTCCTCCATCCTGGTCCCCAAACATACTCTAGGAGTAGGCTGGAGCCTTTTTACACTTCAACTAGCTGTGGGCTAATTATTTTTCTTTTTCATTAACAGCACTCATACACAAGTTCTCTTTACTCTCAGCAAGTAAGGAAAGGCACTTACCAGGTGGGTTTTTGAGAATGAACGTGCAGAGTTTATGGTTTGTGTCAAGCATGCCTCGATAGCCACAGGCTTTGCAAGAGTTACCTATAGTTTGTTTCTTAGGATTGACATGCTGCAAGAGAGAACAATCTTCAGTTAACATTTCATTTGCAAAACAATTACACATTAAAGCCTGACTTTTACATTATCATCTCCACAGGATTAATGCAGAGGAAGTTAAGTAATAGCAATTTAGCTCAGCAGTTTTTAACTGTTACAGATTTAAAACTTTCCCAAAGAGCGTAAGCATGTGTACTGGGTTTTCTTTTCATATTCAAGTTAGCTTTAAACTTTGCACAAACATGTAATGAAGTGTTTCCATAGTGTCACCATTAATACAGACAAGAGAGCACTCACCAGATCAGTTTCAGGATTCTCACACTCAGGACAGAGAACAAATTTTTTAATGAATCCATCCAACATGTCTTGCAGCTTATTCGCCTCATGAGATCCATTGACAATGTAACGGTCATTCTTAACATCAAACTGGGTCTGTGCTCCCAGCTCACAACCAAAAAATTTGGTAGGATCTGTAGAGAAAGCACAGGAAACACCACCTCCCTTGTATCTTCAATGTGATTTTTAAACAGCCAGTAAATACGCTATTGCTTCTTTCTGTTCATTATTTCATCCTGAGATAATCACATTTCTTTCTTACCAATCTTTAAAGAATGGTATTAATGCTTTATTAGCTATTAACACTACCACTTCAAACACAAAAGCATTAAAAATGCTGTGTCACTCCACACTACTTACACGTTGGAGGCCGATTAAGCGCCTTTGCAACGTCAACCATGTTGACTATAACCGTCTTTATTCCATTTCCTTTGCCCTCCACCTAAAGAAAACAAATAGTATTCCAAGTCAAGTGACTGCAACAGTCAAACCCAGTCTGTATTCCCCATTTAACTACACCAGAATTCTGCTGAGAACTGCAGCTCCTTAGTCTGGACAGAAATAAACAGACACTGTCCCCGCCTTTTGAGTGGCCAAGTATTATCATATTCTCACACCTCTTTCTCCTCTTGGGAGACCAAGTGGAGTGCTTCCCACTAATGCTTAGGAAGTTACCTTGGCAATCAGACGGGGCATTTTGTAGCGATAGAACTGATCTGAAACACTGCGGTTGACGTTGACAGACATTTTGCCTTATTAGTAGCTTTATCAATAAGATGAAGAGATCTTTGATTGCAGTTTTTTGGTATCTTCTGTCTGGAGAAGACGGGATGACATAAACGACTGCAAGAGTTCTCGGTCTCTGACATGAAAAAATTTTCGCCACTGAGGCTGTAAGGTTCTTGCTTGTATGCTATGTTTCCCCAATACAGGTACCAGTGGCTGCGCAACAGCTCTGCAAGTATTAAGAAACAGAACAAAAAATTCATTTTAGCTTAACGCGCATCTATCCGCTCTTGCTACAAAGCTATGCAAGGGATTATATTTAGGGTGAAATATAGGGTAAAAAAAAAAAAGAGAAGTATGTTCTTTATGCTATAACTTTCTTCAACCTATGGAACTGAAAATAGTAACCTTGGATTGTACTGCCAAGGAATTTATCCTTAACTACACCTACGAAGCTTTCCACGCTCTCTTACTATCCAAAAACTAATGAACAGCTTAAGACTATTTTCTGTACAATTAACTCCTGCAGGAGTTCTGGGATCAGTAAGGAAGGGCACACTGCTTGTTTTATTATGGAGACCCATGAATCTTGCACCATAAGGGTCATGTGGCAGGGCAGAGGAAATCAGGAGAAAGATCTGGAAATCAGATTCAAATTCCACAGCATAGCATAAACCTATCACACAAACGGAAGTCTATCACAATGCTGAGAAATATCAGTAAGATGAAGCAGCAGCAATCTGTAGCCCAATGTAGTTTTTACATGGCTTACCAGTTTTTGGATCGGAGTGGAAAAGAGTTGAAAATTACGTAATTCTCCCTCTCACTTATGGACTCTCATAGCAGCTTCTGTTGAGTTCTGACTTAACAATAAGCCTGATAAAGTCTGACAGAAGTTGCTTCACTGTAGAAAGCCTAGCAATGCAGAGGTACAGAGCAGTGCAGCAGCTTTTCCAGATGATTTTTTTTTTCTTGTGGGAAGGGGAGGGGGAGGAAGGGGAAGGAGGATGAATCCTATTATTAATGTTGCCTTCAGCAGTATTTACATATTTAAATTAACATGTGCCTCTATAATCAGATCTAAGAGTACTTAAGCCACAATTGGCTGACTACACAGGCAACCCTGACTACAGAGCATGGCCACTCTGACACGTCATCATGTTATCATTAAGGGCAGAAGCGCTGACACATTCAAGTAGCCTTCTTAGTATTTACACGTAAGAGCACATCTATGATGCAACATGATCCGAGTCCCTCTGGTCAGGTTTACAAATTCTTTACACAGAAGCAGTTAAGACTTGTATAAGCCTTGTGTTCTACATTAGCACAGACGCAGTTTTACCCTTCCTCAGCAAAAAGTACACCGCGGACTCTGTTTCGAACACGAGGTTTCCTTCCCCAGGGATGTCTAAAAAGAACCACCGGGCAGCCTGACCACGCGTTTGCGGCAGCAGCTGTATCGGTGACCGAGCACCCAGAACGAGCGCGGCGCTTCCCCTCCTTCCAGATTACCGCTTTTGTCTGCCGCAGGCTGAAGCTCCCTCTCCTGGTCCTTAGGACACCTCATCCCAAGCAGCACCTCCCCCCATACGCCGCGCACGGAGGAAAGAGCGGGAAGGCGAGACCCACTCCCTGCCGCACAGCGTCCCCGCCCCGCTCGTGATGAGTCATAAATGCAGCAATTAAAGGACTGAGTCAGCGCTGCGAGAGATTGCGGGGGGGGGGGGCCCCCCCCCCCCCCCAA